AACAGAAATATAGAAAAAAATCTGTAAAACAAATGCAATAAAATTTACTCTATAATTACGATCTTAAAGTAATTTTAAAGAGTTTTTTTTTTTTTTTTCCAGAATAATCTCTGAGTAACTCTAACACCATTAGAGCACTTTCAAAGAGTGTCAATAAGGTAACTAGCTAATTCAATCAAATATCAGCAGAATACTGGTGCATAGATTTATTATAAAGAAAAAAAAGTTATGTTTAGGTACTAGATGGTCAGCTCTTTTCCTGAGACTTCCAAGCCACTTAGTAGGACTACTTATGTTGACCAAGTAAACAGAGAATGTATGAAATGAAAAATGAGCTCTTACTGACAGAGGACCTTTTTATTTGTTTGAAATATGATGAACAGTACATATTGACACTAGTTAGGACAAAAACGGTCTGAATTAGATATGCTATGGCTACGGAAGTCAGGGATATTTGAATTCTCTCATAAAATTACAGATTTCCATCCCAAACTAAAATCTAATTAAATAATGCTATTGTTTAACAGCAGGAGCAGAGGCTTTATAAATTCTTCCTTTAACAAATGAGTGTCAGGACTGTTTGTCAAACCTGAGATAAAATTTCTGTTATCAGGTTCTAACTTTGAGGTGGAATAAAATATCAGATCAAGACTTTTCTGACTAGATAATCATTAACTCAAAAATCAAGTGAAAGTGATGGTAGCTCAAAAAGAATGAATTAAAGCCGGAAGTCACCAGTGCTTACATTCCCAACTGTCCCCAGGGCTGTCTTCCCACTGTGTATAAATGAATCAGGTAATCAGAGTAGGACTCCCATTCAGTTGTACTGGACCCTGGTCCCTGAGAGCTGTCAATGAAAACATCATCCAAATCCCCTTCAAGCAAATCCTGAATTCAAATGTGGGGCTTCAGCTTGTAAAGCTTTGGAAAGAACAATTATAAGTATCTATGTATACCAAGAGGTCTAGAAAGGTTATGCTCTTTAAATAAGGTAGTATGAATCAGGTGCTGAGTTATGACTGCAACTAATATTTTACTACAAATACTTCAGTGTATCGTCAGAGGACTTCTAGAACTTGTTACTACTAAAAGGAAACGTTATTTCTCTTTTGGTGTGTGTTTTAAATCAGAAACAAGTTGTAGACATCACAATGTCATTTTGTTTTCTTTTTTCATAAAAATAAGTAGAATAACATTTCTAGCTTCACAGACTTGAAAAGGGTCTTAAAGGTCATAGTATCTAAATTCCTACTGAATACATTGTTCTGCATAACATCCAAGTGTTTTAACTTCTTTGCTGACAAAAATTTAGTAACAAATAATCTCCTTTACTTTCACAGAACTCTGCTGGGATGTTTTTTCCTACATTAAATCAATGACCTAATAATTTACATTTATTTGTCCTTCATTAAACTAAGTCCCGTGGTTTAAAAGATGGTCCTTCAAACAAGTATTGAAAGACATGCCTTGCTGCATCCCAGATTCCCAGCTACATGTCTGTGCAAAGTATTAATGTTATCCTAGTCTTTCTTTGTCCTCTGGGTTACACTGCAATGTGTCGCTTCACCCTCTGCTCACCTTACTTCAGTTGGTATGGTGCTGGCCTAGTGTTCATGGAGCACTGGGTTTGATCCCAAGCACTTCAAAACAATGTGATGCCTGTAATCCTAACAGTTGTATGGGGATCAGCAGTTCAAGGTCATTCTCCTTGGCTACACAGAGAGCTTGAGGATTTAAGGAATACATGAAACTGACTTCTCAAGGGTAGGGGAGCTGGAGTTGGAGGGAAGGAGGGAGAACATACTGAACTTACCTTCATGAAATGGAACAGACTACTAACATTCTAGTCCCTGATTCTGGACTGTTCATTATCCATATGTTAGATAATCACAGTTAATTTTATTATTGGGCCAATTTCTACCCACAACACTTAAGGCACATCTTCCAAATAACAAAGTTATATGAATAATAATAAATAATTAGATTTTTTCTCAGCTCTTGTTTGGCAATTTACAATATCTAATTAAATTTACAGTACAGAGGATGACTAATTGCTCTTTTCCTGCTTTTCTTAATCCTGCCTTACTGCCATCTCTTCCTGTTTTCAGTCATCTTCAAATTTGATTAGCATTATTTAAGTATTCTTTCCCAAATCTTTGGAAGGACATTAAACAGAATGCAGTCCTGTGTCCTATATTAGAAATCCCCTTCCAGAATGAATGATTTCAGATCATTTTGTTAAATTTTACAGCACAGCATAAAATTGCTAGAGAACATATAATTTCATGTATATTGTGAGCTAAGTATATTAACTCTGCTCTTTAACTGGAATAAAACCAAAGCAGATTAATCATCAATACATGCAGATATGACTTTCTCTAATAAAGCTTCATTGATTTGATAAGGGGGAAAACTGTCATACCATTTCTGTTTTATTTTCATATAACATTGATTTGATGTCCAAGTTTTCTTACCTTTCTTCCTGCTAAAAGCACGGTTCATGACGAGGATCTTCCACCTACTCAGTTCAGTGACACCTGGTGACCTGTATGGATGACAAAATATCAAACGTAAATGAGGGACTGTTGACCACCCTCTTGTGTATTAATGGCTTTTTGTATGGATTTTTGAGATAATGCTTTGCTATGCTGCCCTGGCTGGCCTAGCTGTTGCTATATAGTGAAGTCAGGCTGCACATTCCTAGCAATCTGCTTTAGTTTCACAAGTGCTGGAATTCTAGGTATACACCACCACATCCAGCTCTTAGTAGGTAGAAGGCACTGTTCCCAGGGCACTCTCATCACTAAGACTAAGCCTAACGTGGCATGCTACAACCACATCATACATCAATCTCATTATTTAGGCACATATTTTGTCACCTGGTCCTTATGGTACATCATTATGAAAATTTACAGAACTGTTTTTTTTTTTTTGACGATTCCCTCTTCTTGATGTTGTTAATGAAATCCAGTGATTACCTGAGGAAATTATTTCCTCTGTAGTCCTTTCAAGAAGTTGGCTGCATTCTCTGTACAAATAGTACTCTACCCTTCCAAAAGTGGGTATGGTTTCACATTATTCTACTTCTCCTCTCTTTCAAAACCTCTACTGTATTTGAAGATTGTGTCACCAGAATATATTTACAAGAGAATACATTAAAACAGGAAATATAATCTATTGTATAATTTCAAATTTATTTTTTAACTATTCCCTAAAGGCATAGTTACTTGGTGATTATATACTAGAAAAATAAGAAATAAGAGAAAATATTTTTTTTAAAAAACCACAAATAACAGAAAAATAACAATTTATCCAAATGCAAAATTGGATTTTGCTCAAAAATAAAAGTAGCTAATTACTACAGTTCTTTAATACAAACATCAAATTAATACATCTTATCCTTGCTGAAGCCCATAACTGACAGAAATTTTCAACAATAGCTTATGAAAAATAAAAATGGAGGATAATACTATGTAATTTTTAAAATTCATGAAAGTAATAATAGTAGGACTTAAATTAAAAACAATACAATCTGTGGAGTACATAAAAGCACAGATAAATGAATGTAGTAAAATTATATGATATTAGACAAAGTGATTCATGCCTGAAATCCTAGCTTGGGAGGCTAAGTTAGGAGGACTGCAAGTCAGAGGACAGCCTGAGCTACACAGAAAAATGCTGCCTCAAAAACAGCAAAAACCAAAGAGGGTTATATTGATGTAGCGACAACAGGATTCTAAAACTCCAAAAGGGCTTTTGCTTTCATGGAAAATGCATAGCTATAAATGTTATTAAGTATCAGACAAACCACTATTTTATTTTAATGTGTGTGTTTATGCATAGTTGTGTATGCACTGGAGCATGCGTGTACATGAATATACATACAATGTGTATACATAAATGAGTTCACAATGTGTGAGCATGCCTAGAGAAGCCAAAGAATTGTCTCAGCTGTCATCCCTTAAAACGCCATTGACTTCAGGGTTCTGTTGTTGTTGTAATTGTTGATATTGTTTGTTTTGTTTATTTTTTTGTTGTTGTCTGTTTTGTTTTATTTTTGAGTCAGGATCTGTTAGTGGCCTGGAACTCATCAACTAAACTAAGAGGTAGTCCCAGGGATCTACCTCTCTCCCTCAGTGGGGCTAAGATTAGAAGCACATGCCACCATGCCTAGCCTTTTTATATGGGTTTGGGAGACCAAACTCAGGTACTCCTGTTTATGGGCAAGCACTTTACTGAGTGGGCCATCTTCCAAGCCACTAAACTATTCTTATAAAATAAGTAAGTAATAATTTCAATATGTATGTCACTAATTCATTTATCCAATATTACTGTAAACTTTTTGTAAGACACATCAGGTGTGTACTATGTTAATATTTTCTATTTATTTAATGTATTATTTATTAGTAATACAAGTATTAATGTGCTTTTAAAATCTAGATAATAAAATTCATTTAGTTATAATTTAATGTTTTTTAAAAAATATAAGTTCAAAAATAATGATTAAAGAAGCAGACAAGAAATTGAGAGGAAGATGGGGGAACATGGAAGAGTGGAGGGGGATGGAAAGCCGTGGAAATAATGCAATGACTATACTCATGCATGATATTTACAAAAATTAAAAAACTGAAGAGAAAGGCCCATGTCAACTGATTTTATTTCAACTTACAGTATAATGTAAGTATTTCTTTTGGGACAAAAAATTCAAAGACACTCTTTCAGTGACTGCAGAAACAAATACATTATTTCTCTACTAAATATTTAATTTTTAATTTTTATTTTATGTGCATAAATGTATTACCTGCATGTTTGAAAGTGAACCCATGTTGTATAATGCCCATGGAGGTCAGAAGCGGGCTTTGGGTTCCCTGGAATTGGAGTTAAGGATGGTTGTTAGCTGTCATATGGGTGCTGGAACTCAAACCCAGGTCCTCTGCAAGAGCAGCTAGTGTTCTTAACCACCAAGCCATCTCTCCAGCCCCATGTTTTTTTCTCTTTTTCTGACAGGGTCTCCCTGTAGCCCTAGCTGACCTGGATTTGCTATGGACACCAGGCTGGCCTCAAACTCACAGAGTTCTGTCTGCCTCTGCTTCCTGAGTGCTGGGATTAAAGGCATGCACCACCATGCCTGGCTTGCCCCATATTTTTAAGAAAATAACTTTTATTTCAAATATTTAGCTAAAGTATATTTAGGAAAGGAATGTATAGATTTACTTTTGTTATTTTTTCATAAAATAGTATATAGAAAAACTTTCTAGCTCTAGAAAAATTTTATTACTTTATAATTTTGAGAATTTCATTCATGAGAACTGTATTTACATCATTTCCACCTGTTTTCCTCCCTACAACTCTTTCCATGACTGCCCCAACAATCTTTCTCAATTTCATGCCATCCTCTTTTATAATTATTATTCTTACACATATAAACAAATGTGTACATATATTTATAATTATTTATATAACCTACTGTACCCATTTAATATTGCTTTTATGCGTATGAGTTTAGGGATGGCAATTTAGGATTGGATAAGCTATCAGGGAGCTCATCTTGAGGAGAAGACTGATTCTCCCTCTCTCAGCAGTCATTAACTTCCTGAAGCTCTTCTTCAAGGGTAGGTCCTTGTGAAATTCCCCCTATTGTTGTTGGCATGTCAACTGGTGGTGTTGTTTTGCATGCCTTGTTTAAACAATCTTATTGTTGAAATTTTATGGGTGCAATTTCCCTGGAGTGTCTAGAAGTTGCTAACTAGCAGTAGGCATCTTAGTCCTCTGGTTCTTTCAGTCTTTCCACCCCATCTTTCAGGATATTCCCTGAACCTTAGGTGTAAAGATTGCATTATAGACTACAGGCACCCCAAGGTCACTTATTTTCCATTTTCCATTTTAAACAGTTGTGGATCTTTGCAGCAGTCTATTTTAATGCAAAAATAAAAAATAAAAGCTTTATCGATGATTGGTGAGAGCTACATTTATCAGTGAGCATAAGGCTAAGTTTAAAATTACATTAGTTTAGGAATAAGGCAGTAATAAATTCTCCTCTAGGGTCTAAGCCTGTTCTATTAGAATAGTTGGCTAGGTTTAAAATACCAGACATGAATACCTTCCTATTGAAAGATCCTTAAGTCTAATTAGACAAGCTGATGGGTAATAAGAGGAAAAAAGAGGGAAAAAAAAGAGATAAATAACACTTTTGCACTTTTTAAAAAATGTAAGTCAGTGAGGTAGTTTTTCAAAACAGTAAATTTTAGATCCTGAACTAAATTCACAGTTCAAAATAAACTAAAATAGGGGCTATTAGAACCCAGCAGTCTGTAGTGGGCAACAAAGTTTCCTATGTTCTACCAGGATAACTCAGTTCATTACTGACAAGCTTCTAGATTTAATTAGTGTCTGTTTTAAAGGTATTCTGCTTAAATCCCCCAAATACAAGACACTTTACAAATTTCTTCATTGATTTTATGCCTGTAAATTGCAAGAGGCTTTGTACTTACAGATAAATACTAAGTATCACCAAGAAAACCAAGTAGTACGCAAACAGAAATTTCACACAAACAGAAATTTCACAGTATCAGGGAAAATGACATAATATCTATCAAAACTATTTGTTCTTTCCAAGGTATATGATATAGGAAGCACTATGCCAAGTATGGCAAGATAAAAATAAGTTTGACATGGTCCCTTCTTTGATATACTTAACCATCTTTGGAGGTAGGAGAGGATAGGTATGGGGTTCTGTGAACAGGGCTAATCCCTACAGAAGGTGAGCATGCAAGGATGAAGTGTAGGATGACTGCTTTGTTCCAGGGAAAAGCTTAAGAAAAGATATAAGTAGTAATTCTGCAATTTTGGTCAAAATTGAAGGTGTGAAGAGAAAAGAATGTCTCGGGCAGAAGGGCCCAATGTATACGGTTCATACTGATGATGTGCATGGATGTCCTGGCCACACTGATAACCTTCAGAGAACCATCCACTCTCTGTGAGGCTCCCTTCTCCTCCTCTGCAACATTCTTGGTGAGGGCATAGAACAGCCCGACAGGAGCATCTGAATTCCTTGTAATATGGTCAGCTCCTGAGAAGGTGTACATGTGATAAAACTTGAATGCATAACAACCAGAAACACCAGGTTTGTGCGAGAAAATAAAAAGGGCCAGCATTCCCTCCAATGCTGAGAATCAAGTCAACAGATGACACAGACAGTCAACAGTCTTTCACGAATCAAAAATAAAAATAGTAATAGACACTCCATCCTTCCTGACATTTAAAGTTATGAAATTTAAACTGTTTTTTTGTGGTAGTAACAGTTTCTTTTCTAAGAGGATTTTGGTAGGCATAGCAAAACTCATTTCCACAGCTGTAAGTCTTCTCATTGTACAGTGTGAATCTCGGCCAACGTTGGCTTATCAAACCTCTGCTGGCATATCAAACCTCTGCGTAGAGAAAGGGTAACTCAGACAGGCTTCTTGTTCTTTGTATGAACCTGGAAGTGGCGCCACCCCTCAGTCTCCAGGAAGAGGATGTTTATGGTTCAGGTCCTTAGAACTTTAA